AGGATCATGAATGGAAACTGGGTAAATCAGCCCCATTCAGACGTCATTCAGAAGTTCTTTCGCTTACTGGCAATCTGTCATACTGTCATACCTGATGTGGATGAAGACACGAGTAAAGTATTTTATGAAGCTGAGTCACCTGATGAGGCTGCTTTTGTTATTGCAGCAAGAGAGGTTGGCTTTGAATTCTTCAAAAGAACTCAAACAAGCGTTTCAGTGAATGAATTGGATCCTGTATCAGGCAAAAGAGTTGAAAGGTAAGCATCTTGCGTGTCTCTGCATTTTATTTTCTGTAATGTCTGTTACTTGGATAAGCTTCTTTACACAGATGTTGCTTCTTGCGTACGTGAAAACTCTCTCCCTTGCACCTCGTTACAAGAACTATGAATAACCAATCATCTGGAAGTTCACATAAACTAGACTATAATTTGATTGAGCTGATTTCATCTTACAGCATCCTTATTACAAGCTTGCAATGATTGTAAAAAAAATTCTTTAGAATAAGCATAAAATATACTGTGTAACACACGCTTCAATACCAGGAGGACTCTCAGTCTCATGTTTGGGTTCAAAAAATATAATATTAAGGCATATACATATATTGATTTAGCAACATTTTGACCATATTGTAAAATTAATTTCTGCTGATGCAGGACATACAAACTGTTAAATGTTTTAGAGTTCAACAGTACAAGAAAGCGAATGTCTGTGATAGTAAGAGATGAGGATGGAAAGCTTTTATTACTCAGCAAAGGTGCTGACAGGTTGGTTTGTGTGTAACTTACTGAATTACAATTCACATCTTTTATCAGTTCATTATCTTGGATTTCAGTTGATTCCTAAGCCCTTATTTCTGTTCTGTCTTTAACTCTATTCCTACACTGTTCTTTTTTTGGCTTTTTTGTAGTGTCATGTTTGAGAGGCTTTCAAATAATGGAAGGGAATATGAAGTGGAAACCAGAGAACATATACATGAGTATGCTGATGCTGGCTTGAGGACCTTGATACTTGCTTATCGGGAACTTAGCGAAGAAGAATACGAGGTATTCAATGAAAAGTTTTCAGAGGCCAAAAACTCAGTTAGTGCAGACCGTGATGCGTTGATTGATGAAGCAACAGAAGAAGTGGAAAAAGATTTGATTCTTCTTGGTGCAACAGCTGTTGAGGACAAGCTCCAACAGGGGGTGGGTTTATACTTTATGATTTTCGTGCAGAAGAAACACACTATTCTTGATAAATTGCAAGATGGACACTGATTTTGTTTGTCTAATGTCGTTCCTGGCAGGTTCCTGAATGCATCGACAAGCTTGCACAGGCAGGAATTAAAATATGGGTTTTGACTGGAGATCAGATGGAAACAGCTATTAATATTGGGTATGCTCTTTGTACAATTTCTAATATCAGCTAATTTGAGGCTATATTTGGTTTTCCAGAGATTCCTGACAGTAAAAATCAATTCTCCAGCTATGCCTGTAGCTTACTCAGACAAGGAATGAAACAGATAATCATAAACTTAGAGAAGCCAGAGATCACTGCACTTGAGAAAACGGGAGAAAAGGATGCAATTGCCAAGGTAAATCAATGTCCTGCATTTTAAACTTTCAATTTTAACGACAAAAGTGAGAATTGCCTAGCTACTAAGAACCTTTTTATGATATATGAACAACTGCTTGTATGACTCTGATTGCGCTAAAACTATAATTCTTTCCATCAACCATGATTGTTGAATAATTTGAGTTGAAAGATTCCTTATTTTTGTTCTTCATTAGGCTTCGAAGGAAAGTGTTCTCCAACAGATCACTGAAAGGAAGGCTGAGGTTTCTACAGAAAGCTCAGAGGCATTTGCCTTGATCATTGATGGGAAATCTCTTGCATATGCATTAGAAGAAGACGTCAAAAAATTATTTCTTGGACTTGCTATTGGCTGTGCATCTGTAATATGCTGCCGTTCATCACCAAAACAGAAGGCATTGGTGAGTTTATATCCTATTAGCTTCAATTGAGTCTGGGTGTTGGCCTTGTATCATATGTATAACTTTCTATATCAAATTCTCTTTTTCATATTTTGAAATTTCTATTCAATCCGTAAAGTTCTTTTTAATCCTACAGGTAACAAGACTAGTTAAAGAAGGAACTCAGAAGACAGCTTTGGCAATTGGTGATGGAGCGAATGATGTAGGAATGCTTCAAGAAGCAGACATTGGAATTGGAATAAGTGGTGTTGAAGGAATGCAGGTAAAAAGCTACTTGTGCACTGTTCATTAATCAGAAAACTTATTCTATTTACTATGGTTTGCCTCACTTTTTGTATCTTTCCTATGCACATATCAGGCAGTCATGTCAAGTGATATTGCAATTGCTCAGTTCAGATTTTTGGAGCGCTTACTTTTGGTTCATGGACATTGGTGTTATAGAAGGATATCTTCAATGGTATATCACTTCGTCGTTGATTTTATCAGACATTTATGTCCTGCTTAAATAAGTTGTTTCTATCTTTGTTGCATTAAATAATAGTCTTAAAATTACAAGACAAGAATCATTTGAAACTTGGATTGCTTCATCTTTCACAGTGAATATCAGGAAAATGTTTATGATTTAAAAGTTCATCCAATTACAATGGCCATCATATGGCGTATATTGATACTATATGCCTTTTTCTGCAGATATGCTACTTCTTCTACAAGAATGTCACATTTGGTTTCACAGTTTTCCTGTACGAGGCATATGCATCGTTCTCTGGACAACCTGCTTACAATGACTGGTTTTTGTCCCTTTACAACGTGTTCTTCACATCACTGCCAGTACTTGCCATGGGGGTTTTTGACCAGGATGTGTCTGCCAGATTTTGTCTAAAGGTATGCTATTAGTCAGTAGATTGGAATCTGGAACAAAGTTCAAAACAGTATAGGATGTTTTCTCTGGCCTGTTGCTTATTGCAGGATTTTTATCTGATAAAAATTCTAAATAACTAGCTGAATTTATTACTGTCTTGATGCGCCCCCCAACTTACAAGAATGCTCACCTTTTCCTCACTTTTTGTTCGTTTTCATATGACAGTTTCCCTTGCTGTACCAAGAAGGTGTGCAAAATGTCCTGTTCAGCTGGCGGCGTATAATTGCATGGATTATCAATGGGCTTTGTAGTGCCATCATCATCTTTTTCTTCTGCAAAAGAGCACTAAATCCGCAGGCCTTCAGTAAGGACGGAAAAATCGCTGAGTTCCAAATTTTCGGGGCTACCATGTACACCTGTGTTGTCTGGGTTGTGAACTGCCAGATGGCACTTGCCATCAGTTACTTCACCTTAATCCAGCATATCGTTATCTGGGGTGGAATTGCTCTTTGGTATCTTTTCCTCTTGGCCTATGGGGCTATGCCTCCAAGCATTTCCACGACTGCATACAAAGTCTTCGTTGAATCTCTTGCCCCAACACCTTCTTTCTATATAGTCACACTCTTCGTGGTTATCTCGACTCTGATACCATATTTTGTTTTCAACACAATTCAGATGAGATTCTTCCCCATGTACCACGGGATGATCCAGTGGATAAGATATGAGGGTCGGGCAGATGACCCTGAATACTGCCATATGGTGAGGCAGAGATCTATACGACCCATAACTGTGGGATTTACTGCTCGTTCATTGGCACGAACAAATCCATTGAATTCATCAGCACGAACAAATCCATCGAATAATAGAATTCCAGATCACAGATAAATATTATGTATGTTCCCTTTGTTTCTAGATTTAGTACTCTTCCCGTTGTAAATGATTTTGGGGACTGGTTCTACGCAAGAGTGTATGCCTAGATGAACAAAAAGGTCTGTAAAAATTTATTGATTCAGATGTATTATTGTCATTAGGGTACAAGTGCAGTATCCATATTTATTCTTTCAATTTTGTATCTTGTACAATAACATATTTTCATGCAGAGAGAAATATCCATAATTATGGATGAGTTGCAAGAATAAAATCAGGGATTTTCTATATATCTTAGATTTCTATTATTTACTTTTTGCTGTTGTATTTGCCTTGATTCTTAGGCGCAATGTACTTGTCTATTTATTTGATTAGGCGGCTGTTGAAGAATGCAATGCAAACAAGTCATTTTGCTGGTCTTATTCTTTTAAGTATTTTTTTTTTTTTCAATAAATTTGATCTCATATGGATGTTGATCAAAATAGCTCTTAAATGATTTTCAATAACGATGCAAAGCAGGCTCAGTTTGATCAACCTCGAGGTTACTCCAACAATTGAATCTCAAATCCAAAATAATTGTGTTGCCTCTTGTTTCTTAGCCCACAAAGGACTCAAATCCACAAAAGATTAACTCACAAGGAAGGAGAGGGAAAGAAAGGAAGTTCAATGACCACGGTTTTCACAGAGAAAAAGAAAGAACAGCTGCCTTCAAAATTCTCTCAATTGCACCAATCGTAGGTCACGGTTTTGACAAGCGAAGAGGGTAACCCATGTATGGGTTTAAGGCAAGAATTAGGGTAACAACAAATGGCCAAACAATGCATAAACGAGCCATCACAAGTGATTGTGTTGAGCTACTAATTTTGGGTTCCATCTTGTGGAATTTAGTCTCCTATTTCAATCCTCGGCCAAAGACTATGAAATTAAAGTTTATTTTAGCCAAATGTCATAGCCCGGACTCATTGAATATCAACAAAATCCAACAAATATCTGAAAACTCTCCTCGGACACGTTCAAATCAACGGGACTGTGCTTCTTGTGTACAGTAAGAGGTACAACCCCCTCACATGAGGAGGTTATAAGCTTGTACAGCTCTTAGGGCAAAATTTTCCAAATCAACGTTCATATAAAGACAATGATAATATAAGAATCTGTCCAATTAGCAAAACAAGATCTAATCAGCCGAGAGGTGAGATGTCTTTTTCTTGTACTAAAGAATCCACATGCCCGCAATTTATTATCAGAATATTAATTTTTCCTCCAGATACGTTCAAGTTAATTGTCTTGTTATGAACATTAAGTTTCCACCAAGAAAGAATGGTAAAACATTTGATTATAAAATAATTCTTCTCAACTAATTATCAAAAGAACAATGTAGATTTTGAAATGGATCTCTGGATAGATTCTGACGCCATTTCCTATGGAAACGAATTGACAGACGTTGTTAACATAGTATTCAATCAGAATTTTACGATTAACAAAGTCAATGATCCTTGTATTTATCTAGCTATCTCGTCTAATTTTGTGGAGTCGATGAAAAGGCTCGACATGTCCTAGCTAGGACACAGTAAGTCCAAGGTATTCGCCAGCAGATTTTTTTCCGAGGATGCTAGCAAACTCATTGAAACTTATGACACCATCGCCATTCATGTCTGCTTCTTGCATCATCTGGGTCAGCTCACGATATGTCAAGGGGTGTCCCATTTTCGCCATTGAACCAGCCAACTCGGCTGCGGTTATATAGCCATTTCCATCGCGATCAAACGACCGGAAAACCTCCATTAATTGCTCCTGGTTGAGCAAAACCTCCTCATTCAAGTCAGGCAATATGGCATCCACCAATTCATCGAATTCTACGGAGCGATTTCCATTGGAATCAATTTTAGCCGACAGGACATGGACTTGATCACCACCTGGTTTAAGGCCGAGGGATCGGAGGAGGGCGGCTAGCTCGAGCAGCGTAAGGCTGCCGTCCTGGTCCATATCAAACCGATTGAATATCTCCTTGAGTTGTTGAAGCTGATCATAATGAATTTTGGCCATCATCTCTTCTGGTGCAATAGAAAGATAGAAGAAAGAACAGAGAGAAAAATTAATGTTTTTTTGGTTAAACTTTGTGTTGGTCTGTTTAATGATGTGGGGTTCTGCCTCTTTTTAACATTGAATGATCCAAAAGTCTTTGAAATCGTGCTGCGTCAACAAGAAATTGAGTTGAATAATTTCACAATTGGTCCCTGATCTATTCTCCTAGTAACAAATTGATCACCAAGCTTTAAAATGGAGCAATTTGATTGCCAAACTTTTAGTATATTTTACAATTAGTCACATTTTGTTAAGAAGGTAGTTAGTCCCTATATGCTCTATTATACGAAGCTATGTGTTTCTTCCTAACTTGAGCTAGCACCCATAAATTTTGAAGTGAGACATAATTTTTCGAGGGTCATGGGATATTTAAGAAAAGTTTGGAACGAATTCTTTTAATTAGAAACTGATTTTGCAACTACAGTGAAAGGTTTTGGATTAATTTACTCTTTTCTAGAGTTTGAAGATCAAATTCTTAAATGGGTAATAAGTCAGAGACAAAATAAAATTTTCCCATTAAATATTGTGGTCATTGAAATTGAATTGTTGATACGTGTATAATTTACAAGCCATGTGAATGTGACTTATTCTAATTTTGGTAAATTCTTTCTCATTGACTTCTTGTTTTTAATCAGTCTTGGCAGAATGATTCCAATATAGAGTGGGTCAATGTATATATCATGACCAATAATAGTATATTCATCTTTTAAATCACAACTATAGAGAAAATGAATCTTTTAAAATGACTTATAGACCAACAATAATTAATTTATATTTCAAATATTCCTTCAACCTTTAGTTATGCATACAAAGTCCTCAAACTTTGTATTTGTAGCAGCTTAGTTCTATCCATTTGCCGTTAAAAATCTAATTCTATCGAAAATATCTCTACGAAACATATTTTAGAGCATTGTTCTATGATGCTCGTCTAGACGTGAAGCTTGACCTTACTGCCTTGTCATGCTCTATGTTTTTTATGCCTATGCTTCATCTAGACTTACTCTAGCCTCGTTTAGGTTTGTAAAACCCCTAAATATACTTTACGTTTTCTAGAACACTATTTTAGAACATTCACCTAATTGATTGGAGGTTCAAATATTGATGGAACGTGTAATTGAAAATTTGATAAAAAGTTGTAAATTCTCATGAAAAGTGTGATTAAAATTTGTTGACTTTTATTTATATTTTTGTCAACTCTTTTAGCTAAAGCAAACAGAGGCAACATGTTTGATTTGTCACTCATAATGACAAAATTAACTAGTTTTTACCAAAATAAACCACAAGTGGCTGACTCCTCTCCTATTTTTGCACACAGTTACATTGTGTTTTACTTGAATTCATGTTTCAAAAATTTCTCTATCAAATTCTGGTTCAATAAATTTTAGAAAAATGATTATTCGGCAAACAAGGGTAAGTTTTATGCCATTAACATGATGCTTGTTAATTTTAAACTATACAGACCTCCAAAAGATTGATTGAGACACTGCAATTAGGTAGCTCAGGTGATAATAGTTTGAATAGGTGTACAGCAAGGAATGATGCGTACAATTTTGAAAATCTCAAACAATTTTCCGTTAAGATTAATAACATTAATTGGTTTGTGAAAAATTGATGCTTCTCAAAACACTCTAAAAAGAGTGCTACTTTTGTCAATTAAGGCTTCAACTTATTTGGAAAAACTTTGCCTAATTGGCACTTGACTATTGGATACATGATACTCACTTGGATTGTGCTAGTTGAGACCGGTTTTGGACCATTGGATCAAACCAACGGTTGAGATCACCCCTTGGGATGTGACCTTCCAACTTAACCAAAAGTCTCGTGACTTTTGGGGTTAATTCTAGATTCTTCTCTCTCTCTCTCTTCTCTAGCGTCTCTCTCTGGTTCTTCGAGTTCTTCCTTTCTGAGTTTGTAAAATCATTCCCTCAATGTATAGTTTTTGCGATCTGGTTATGGAGTTTATGTTTTGGGTTAATGATCAGGCTTGAAAGAGTAGCTGATCTTGTACTCTAAAACTCCTATACATTTGGTTGATTTCGTGCGCGTGTGTTTCACGAGATCTTTAGATCGGTGACTAAAACTGTGGGTTCTGGTGGTTCTTGATGTACTCTTGCTCTTTTGGAAGGTCGATTGTGCCATAGTGGAACGGGCTGTCCCTGAGCTCCCCAGATTAAGCCTATTTGCGGCTGAACTGGGTCAACAACTTGGTGTTCTTGTGTTGTTATTTTTCTTTCATATTTGTGTGTTGCGTTTTTACTGCTGTTTAATTGTACAAATCAACCGAAAATCTTCACAAATTGGTATCAGAGCCTTCTGGCTTCTAGGTTCGGTTCGGTATAAACTGTACAAATCCATACTGGGTTATTTCTTGGGTTTCTTTTAGAACAGTGTAGATCGATTTTTTAGATCTGCACAAAAGGGCGGTTTAATTACTCTTTTCATTTCGTTTTTCGATATTTCGTCTTTTGGCAATAACAGTCACTGATTTGTTTGATTTTCTTTGGAAGGTGACATTGGTTTGTGGTTCGAGTTAACTGGCTGGGCTTGTTGAATGCTTTGTATGTATGAAATAAACACTGCAGAACTAGTATGATCTGACCATTATTTTGATTGAAACTGGTTTTACATGGGTTAATCATGATATATTAGATTTCATGAAGCATGCTGTTCTTTATCTAGTTAACTGAAAATAATTGTCTATCAACTTACCTGTGATCTAGTTATAAAATCTACCTTGCATTTTTGGGATATCTGACTGAAATTTGTAATATATCTATCCGTTCTTGATATATAAACTTACTGTCAAATATCTGCTGTACTTAACTCAATCTCTGAAAAATTGTTACTGAATATTTTTGGATTTCTTAAAACTGTTTATTGGTTTTCTTGAAATTACTTAAAACAAATTATTTTCAAAAACCTTTTCTGTTGTATCCATGAGTAATGTCCACCCTTTTACAGAATCTGTAATGGGTTCGAAGGTTGAATTGTCTCAATTCGATGGAAAGGGGGACTACTCAATAGGGAAGCAGAAAATGAGGGTCATTTTGGTCCAACAGAGGGTTGCAAAAGCCCTCGATGATTCTGCAACTTTTTCTGATGAGTTAAAAGCAAAACCTAACGAAATTGAAGAAATGAATGAGATTGCCTATAGTTCTATAATCCTGCATTTATCTGATAATGTGGTTAGACAAGTTGATGATTCTAAAACTGCAAGAACTTTGTAGATTGCCTTTGATGGTTTGTTCTTAACCAAAACTCTTCCTAACAAGATATATCTGTTAGAAAAACTATTTAGTTTTAAAATGGACACAGGAAAGGATTTGGAAGTCAATTTAAGTGATTTTAGTATTATAGTTAAGAGTTTAGCACACAATGATAAAAAATTTGAAGATGAGAACTTGGCTGTTATTCTTTTAAATTCACTGCCTGAATCTTACAAAGATGTTAAGAATGTCATAAAGTATGCTAGGGACACTCTTACACAATCGATTGTAATAGATGCTTTAAGGTCAAGAGTGTTAGAAGTTAGGAGAGAAAACAGAACCAACTATAGAGAAGAGAGCCTATTTGTAAGGGGAAGAACTGAAAAGAAGGAATGTAATTTTCAAAACAAGAAAATGAAGGAGAGATCTAAAAGCAGATCTAAATCTAAAGATAGAAGTAATAAGAAGTGTTATAACTGTGGGAAGTTGAGACACTTTAAGAGGGACTGCTTTGATTGGAAAAGGAAATTAAAAGATCAGAATAATAATGATCGGAATAATGCAGCCATAGTGTTAGAATTGGATAGCTTCCTTGTACTAAATGTGTTAGCTGAAAACTCTATTAGAGACTGGATCCTAGATATTGTATATACCTTTCATATGCGTCCTGAAAAAACATGGTTTTATAACTATAAAAAAATAGAACCAGGAAAGGTGTATATGGGTGATAATAATTCCCAAACTGTGATTGGCATAGGTGACATTGTCATAAAAATGTTTGATGGCATTGTCAGAACTTTAAGAAATGTGAGATATGTCCCAAATTTAAAAAGGAACCTTATTTCACTAGGGATACTTGAAGATGAGGGATATATCTTCAAATTAGATAATAAAAACCTAAAAATTATGAAGGGCTCTTTAGTTGTGATGAAAGGACTTAAAAGGAATGGGTTATATTATCTAGAGGGAGAAACAGTTATATCACCTGATTCAAATGCTTTAACTGTTAATGAAAACAAATCTAGTCTTTGACACAATAGAATGGGACACATTGAAAATAAAGGGCTAAAATCTTTAAGTAATCAAAAATTACTTGGAAAAGATGACATTGAGCCAGTGAACTTTTGTGAGACTTGTGTGTTGGGTAAGTCTCACAACGTTAGTTTTTAATCTAGCTCATACAGAACCAATAGGCCCTTGGATTATGTGCATGCTGACCTTTGGTGTCCAGAAAAACACTCCACTTTTGGTGGAAGTAAATACTTTTTATCACTTGTAGATGACTACTCTAGGAAGGTTTGGATTTATCCATTAAAGGCTAAATCTAAAACCTTCCAGAAGTTCAGAACATAGCTGAAAATTGTTGAAAATCAATTAGAGAAGAAGAAATTGAAAACCCTAAGAACTGATAACAGGCTGGAGTTCTCCAATATAGAATTTGATAATTTCTGGAAACAGAAATGAATATTAAGGCATAGGACTGTGAAATACACACCCCAGCAAAATGGGATAGCTGAGAGAATGAACAGGACTATAATGAATAAAGTAATATGCATGCTTATTAGTTCTAGTTTGGCTAAAGGGTTTTGGGCTGAAGCTGCTTGTACAGCAGCTTACTTGATTAATATGTCCCCTTCTAGTAGTATAGGGTTTAAGACCCCACAAGAATTGTGGACAGGAAAAATCCCAAACTTAATTCTTATAAGGGTTTTTGGATATGCAGCATATGCACATCAATCCGAAGGAAAGTTGGAACCTAGAGCCATCAAATGTGTGATGCTAGGATAGCCAGAAGGTGTTAAAGGCTACATCTTGTGGGTTTTGG